AAAGGTTGATAAAGCAGTGAACACCAACGGCATGCACGCCATTGAACCAGAGCCAACTGTCAACAACACACTTGTGTCAAGTCAAGACATTGGAGGCCAAACTGGGGCCGGTAGCAACGGGATCCTTCCGATCCTTCCAGTTCAGGTGAAGGCAAGAAAAGGTAATAAAGTGATTAAGACTTATGCATTTTTGGACAATGGATCAACATCCACATTCTGCACTGAAGCTTTGATGCGAAAACTGAACCTGACTGGAAAGAAAACAAAGATATGTTTATTAACCATGAGCCCAAAGACAAAGGTATCAACATACATTGTAAATGAACTCGAAGTATCTGGCCTTAATGGAAAAAGGTACCACAGTCTTCCAAATGTTTACACACAAAAAACCATGCCGGTTGGTAGAACAAACATAATCAGCACAGAAACCCTCAGAAAATGGCCTTACCTTGATAACATCGACATCCCTGAAATCCATGCAGAAGTAGAGTTGTTGATTGGTACAAACGCATCGAAGTTGCTGGAGCCATGGGAAGTTGTAAATAGTCAAGGTGAGGGGCCCTTTGCCATTAAAACCCTACTGGGTGGGTTCTCAATGGCTCATGTCGGGATTGGAAAGGCAATCGTGATGATGACAACTGCCATTTTGCCACTGTGAATAGAGTGTCTGTTGAGTCTCTGGAGCTGCTATTGGAAAAGCAGTATGAACATGATTTCAATGAAAGAGCTGCCGAAGACAAAGAGGAAATGTCAAGGGAAGAGACAAAATTCATTGAAATCATGGAACAGTCTGTCAAGGTGCAAGATGGTCATTACAGCGTGAAACTACCTTTCAGGACCAAAGAGGTGACAATATCACACAATCGTTGCATTGCTCAACAGCGCCTCACTGGAATAAGAAAGAAAATGGAAAGGGATAAAAAGTTGCATCAAGAGTACACAGACTTTCTGACAGACGTCATCAACAGTGGTTACGCTGAGAAAGTCTCACAGGATGAATTGCGGTGTGGTGAAACCAATGTGTGTTACATCCCTCATCGTGTTTATCACCCACGCAAGGGCAAGTTGCGAGTAGGTTCCTTTGTACTTAGCTACCTCCCTGAATGATCAGCTGCTGCAGGGCCCGAACCTTACCAGTTCCTTAATCGGAGTGCTTCTCAGGTTCAGACAAGAACCTGTTGCCTTTATGTCTGATATAAAATGCATGTTTTATCAGGTCGAAATGCCAGAGGAAGACAGAGATTTCCTCCGATTCTTATGGTGGCCCAATGGAGATTTGACCAAAGAAGTAACAGAGTACAGAATGACTGTGTGCACTTATTTGGAGCAGTGTCATCTGCAAGCTGTGCATGTTATGCATTAAGAAGAACTGCAGATGACCACCAGGACAGCTTTGCGGAAGAGGTACTTGACACTGTGCATACAAATTTCTACGTGGATGACTGCTTGAAAAGCTCACCATCTGTGGAAAAAGCAGTACATATTGTTAATGATCTGGGTGACCTTTGTCAAAAGGGAGGCTTTCATCTTAAAGAGTGGACCAGCAACTGCCATAACATCCTGGCCAGAATTCCTGAGAAGGACCAATCCAAAAATGTGAGTGAACTCAGTCTTGACAGAGAAACTCCCAATGGAAAGAGCCCTAGGGCTCTAATGGTGTATGGAGAGTGACACATTCAATTTCCACATGGCCTGCAAAGAGAGGATACACACTCGACGAGGAATTCTATCAGTCGTGAGCTCAGTGTACGATCCCTTAGGGTATCTTGCAGTAATTACTCTTCCAGCAAAGCACATTTTACAGGAGTTGTGCAGGAAGAACTATGACTGGGATGAAGAAATTCCGCAAGTCCTAAAACAACAGTGGATCAATTGGTTGGCTGATCTGAAAGGGCTGTCAATGTTCCAAGTGAATAGGTGCTTGAAACCACATGGCTTTGGACCACAGGCACATGCCCAATTGCACCACATCGCTGATGCCAGCGAAGGAGGGTATGGCACAGTAACATACCTGAGGCTACAAAACAACCAAGGTGATGTGCATGTCTGTTTCCTTCTTGGAAAAGCCAGAGTGGCACCACTCAAGCCAGTAACCATCCCTCAGTTAGAGCTCACTGCCGCTGTCTTGGCTATTCGGGTTGATAAGATGGTGAAAGCAGAATTGCAGCTTGACTTACAGGACTCCTGTTTCTGGACTGACAGCAACAGTGTTGAAGTACATCAACAATGAAAACAGGAGATTTCGAACATTTGTGGCAAACAGAGTAGCTGTCATCAGGGAAGCATCAGACACAACACAATGGCACTACATCCACGCATCGCAAAATCCTGCAGATGATGCGTCTAGAGGGTTGACAGTCCACAAGCTTCTGAACAGTAAGACATGGCTGGCAGGTCCAGAATTCTTGTGGACAGCAAAGGAAGCATGGCTGCACTGCAAAATAGAGACCACTATTGCTGAAGATGATCCCGAGGTCAAAAGGGAGACCTCTACAAATGCAATAAGTGTACAAAACAGCTGCGCTGTCACTCAGCTCATCATCTATCACTTGGATTGGAAAAAACTGAAAACTACAGTTGCATGGATACTCAAAGTGAAGACGGCTCTATTGGAATTGAGTCGAAAAAGGAAGCAACTTCTACTGGATGACCCTACAGATCCCAACCACATTGCTCAGGAGATATTGAAGGTGACACTCGGTGGGACAAGATTTGTCAACTGAAGACCTGTCGGCAGCAGAGACTGCAGTCATCCAGTTCTGCCAAAGAGAAAGATTCAACAGTGAAATGTGTGCACTGTTGTCTGGAAACCCTGTGAAAAAGAGTAGTCCCATCTACAGACTGAATCCTGTTCTTGAGGATGGACTGCTTAGAGTAGGCGGTAGGCTGTCCAGGACCGCAATGCCAGAAGAAAGAAAACACCCAGTCATTTTGTTAAAGGATCAACATATTTCCTTGTTAATCCTCAGACACATTCATGAACAGACTGGACACAGCAGAAGAAATTACATCCTCTCAAGATTGAGAGAAAGGTATTGGATCACACATGCTAATGCAGCTGCAAGAAAGGTCCTGTCAAGCTGCACTTTTTGAAAACGTCACAAAGGCAAATTGTGTGATCAAAAAATGGCAGACATCCCCAAAGAAAGAACAACTCCAGACTTGCCTCCATTCACCAACGTGGGAGTGGATTACTTTGGGCCCATTGAGGTAAAGCAAGGACGTTCCTATGTCAAACGTTATGGAGTCATATTCACATGTATGGCCAGCAGAGCTATTCATTTAGAAGTGGCACATTCTCTGGACACAGATTCTTGCATCAGTGCCATACGTTGATTCATGTGCCGGAGAGGTCCCGTTTCTCACTTTCGCTTCGATAATGGCACCAACTTCACTGGAGCAGAAAAGAAGCTAAAAAGAGCAATTGCACAGATGAATAATGGAACAATTGAGAAGGCTTTACTGCATGATAAGATCAAGTGGAGTTTCAACCCACCATCGGCTTCACATCATGGCGGTGCTTGGGAAGGCATGATCAGGCTGGTTAGAAAGGTGCTGGCATCAGTTCTACATCAACAGACCTTAACCGATGAAGCCTTAGTAACGGTCTTGTGTGAAGCAGAAGCGGTCTTGAATGACAGACCCATCACCAAGGTGTCTGAGGACCCAAATGACCTTGAACCTCTGACACCAAACCATCTTTTCACCCTGAAAAGGAAACCAATTCTCCCTCCAGGCATATTTGATCACAACGACCAGTATGCAAGACGAAGGTGGAAATAGGCACAATACATCTCAGATTTATTCTGGAAGAGATGGTATAAAGAATACCTTGCTGCCCTACAGGAAAGGCAAAATTGGAACAACACCCAACGTAATCTTACAGCAGGGGACATTGTTCTGATTGCAGATGCAACTGCTCCACGGAACTCCTGGTTAATTGGAAGGGTGATTAACACATTCCCTGACAAATCAGGCTTAGTTAGATCAGTTCAGGTGCAAACAAAAACAAACGTCATTGAAAGACCTGTAACAAAACTTTGTTTATTGGTAGAAAATGAAGCATAAAGAGTTGACATGCATTAAAAAAAAGCGAACAAAAAGGGGGTTTATTTTGTTGTTAAGGCGATGTATATATTGTTGAGAATGGTTTATTATGGCTCCATACCTTAATTGTTTTGTTGTAACTGTTGTGTTCCTGTACGGCCATAAACAATTAGGGGTCGGTTGTGTTGGAGCCATTTCGATCAGCAGCTGCTGGGTGGTGCTGTGACAATAATTTACCTGCTTATTTAAAGGCCACACTAATTGACACAGGTGTGTTGCATAATAGAGGTCTAATGTTTTTGACCGTGGCATGGACTGTGTGATGACAGTGCTCTTTTTGTTGAATTTTGTGAACTCCAAGCAGTAAAATAAATGGATTGACATATCTGCTCAAAAGCCATATGAGTGTGGACGGCTGATTTTGTGAATTTTGAAATATATTGGTGTTTTTTACAACGATGGAGGACGAGAGCACGCCAGCCACAGGAGGAGCCACGCGTCCTTTAACAGACAAACGGTGCGTCAACAGGATCATTAGATTAGTTATATACAAAGTATAAACAAACTGAGGAACATAAGGGTGACAATGCTGCTAGCATCATTCTATAGGACTATTTAAACAAATAGGCTACAACACAGACATCAATACAGTTACTTGGTTTTATGGACTTGCAATCACATCCAGGTCATAAATAATAACATAGTTGTACTTTTTAATCCCAGTTTTCATGAAGTGGATATTTGTCGAGGCTCACTGTTGCAAGACAGTAGCTATGTCCCAATTCAGGGTCTGCATCCTTCGAAGGACGCGGCCTACGCAGCCTCCGAAGGCTAGTCCTTTGGAGGTGCCTGCGAAGGAGTCGTCAACCGTTGTTAAATGGGACGGTCTCGCCTAGGGAGGATTTCCTGGTTGCCACGTCACCACGTCAGCACGTCATGATTCCTGTCGCCCAAGCTGGGGAAAAACACAACAGAAGGCAGCGACGAACGGACATACCGGCGATAAAATGGGGCTAGAGTTTGTCATTTTGTTTATTTAATTTACTTTTTGATTGAGGAAGAGGAGAGGCGGCTCCGGCGACACCGGCGGCTCGTTTATCTCCGGCTGGGAGAGAGCCGTGGCGAGGTGAACCTGTTATTTTAACCCACATTAATGTTCATATAGCTAGCATAGTTCGTGGTGATTAATATACCCGTTAATAAACGATACCGTTAAGTGACAAACGCTAGCTATATGTGGTTAATGTCATTTAACCATTACACTTGATACAGGGTTCATGCAGGTGCTTAAAATCTTTGAAATGGTGTAATTTTAATGCTGTATTTTTAAGGTCTGAAAAGTGCTTGAATTGGACCTAGTAAAACCATATTGAGAAGCCAAAGTGGATAGATGGACCGATATAGCATTATTTATCCAAGCTATAGCTTTAACTAGAATTGTCTTATTAACTAAAATTAAATAGCTGTTGTTGCTTTGATCATTTATGTACTCCTGTTCTTACCCTCCTTTCCCCATCCAGACCAGGCCCCTGTACTGCAGAATAAACCTGGCTGTTCCGGTGCTGCAAAACTTCTTTAATCATGGTGACACAAGGCAAGATTTCAGGCTGAGCAGAGTCCCTGGAGGTGCTGGTGGACACGTTTTACATCATTTTATATTTGTTCTCTGTAAATAGTGATTTCTGCTGATCTTTTGTAGTTGTACATGTTAAGAATGCCCACTTGTAAACTTGTAAATAGTTAGAAATGTTCAGAGCGTATCTTTGTAAATATTTGGTTATCAAAGAAAAAAATAAATTGTGTTGTCACTGAAAAGTAGTTCAAAAGTTTACTGTAGTTGTCAATAAGAAATGTAACTGATAATGTATAATCCCTCCTGTCGCTGGCCCAGGCTGCCTCTCCTCATCCTCCTCCTCATGCTGCTCACCCACTACAACACCTGGCCCTGGTGTGTCCTCAGGGATGGAGGCAACAGGACAGGAGGGGCAATGGAAGGCCTCTGTCCTAAACCCTCATCCATGAGGACAAACCAGGGCCAGGTGGCAGCAGTGGGCTTCCTGCCGACCCCCTGACCTGTCCCTGGATCTTTGCATTCCTAAGGGAGAGGAAATCAATCACAACAGCAGCAGTTTTCTGCAAAGTATTTATTAAAAAAGTCTTGAAAAAGAAGTGCATCATGGACTCAAAAAGAGGTATGTTTGAGGTGCTCTTTGGAATGGGATTCATGTAGTGATAAAGAAACAAACAAAAAACTCCAAGGCCTTGGATTTTTTTCTCCCAAAGCAGTTAAATGCCTTTATTCTTATGGCATGGTCATATAAACCTTAAAAACACAGTCCTTCGACACGTTTCAGCATCGAGCCTTCATCAGGAAGTTAAACAGATTCAAGGAATAAAGAATAAAGGCTCTGTAACTACTATGGGAGAGTGCCTTGGAGTTTTTTCTACATTTCTTTATCAAAGTATTAACTTGGGTAAAACAAATGTAGTTTCCATATCATTATCCAAACCTGCACATACTTTATTTATTTGTATTTTTTTTAAGTTGTCCCACTTTTTTCGCCTGTTGAGGCTCCACTCTTCCCTCCAGGACCATTTTATGAAGGATTGTTCTAAACGAGAGAAGCATGACAAAAGGTAAACACACATGATCACAAAAGGTGACATCAGGACAGATATAAAACTCCCACCCCACCTAAAAACAACCCTTTAGTAACGAGTTGTTTATTTGGATGTCACTTGATTATACTTTGAATAAGATAATGTTAATAAGCTAAGTCATGTAATGTTAGCCATTTAACGGTAGTGTTCTTTCTTTCCATGAATGTTTTGTTGACACCAAACAAGAAATTCGAGTTAGTAGTTGGATTTGCAGTGTGCATAACGGCTGACATTAAAGATTATATCCTAGTACCCACACTGCTATTGCAAACAGCAGGCATATTTATGATTTTGACACTGATAAAAGTCTGAAGGGGACTGAAATGTATGTGTAATGTTAACGTTACTGTTATGAACAGCGCAGTGCGAGATTATCATCTAGAACATGATAAAGAAATGTAGAAATTGTGAAAGAAAGGCAGTGTTATACTTCTTACAAGGTGTTAAATTTTTTCAGTATATCACCGGTGTTGAGGTCATGGCCACGTCTCCAACTTTTGGCTACTTGACTTTAGACAGCTAATATTACATTGTCTTCCAAGGACAAAAAGAAAGCATTTAAAAGACTGTCATCTATATTTTGAGGTGTTGCTCCCTGTTTTATTTTATCCTACAGATGTGACATAATAGGATTGTCAACAAAAAGAACTGATTTACCCTTTATCGTTAACTTTCTGTTTTTCATTACCTAAAGCATTTATTACACTCATTTTACTTTTATAGGCACAGTGTGGATCATTGGTGACAGCTATGTCCGGCGTGGTGCCCCGAGAGCTGCACTGGTGTGTCAGTAATTTCACCTTATCAGGAAGAGTATGGGGTGCCGTTTGTAAAGTGTCTCACTCTGAAAATAACATCAGCATTTTGCCACATTTAGCTCCAAACAATGTTTAAAAAAGTGTTGTGAATTTTTTTAACGTCACCTTTTACCACATTTACAGCAATATTTGTTAACTTAGAAATATATTAAATAGTTAAATCTAAATATTAAATGTGGCACCTAAATGTTAAATGTTAAATCTAAATATTAAATCTAAATCTAAATGCTAAATCTAAATCTAAATGTGAGGAAGTAGTCGCAGACCAGCTGTGTGATTTTCTCCATGATAATAATTTATTTGAGGAATTTCAGTCAGGATTTAGAGTGCATCATAGCACTGAGACAGCACTAGTTAAAATTACAAATGACCTTCTGATTGCTTCAGACAAAGGACTCGTCTCTGTACTTGTTTT